CCGAACAATGTAAATAGTGTAAATAGTTACAATGGCTCATCTCAGAAATATACACAAATACTGAGAGTACTATTTGTAAATGGTTAGCTACAAAGCTAAAAGTGAAAATTTGAATCTGGAAGACTGAAAATGCTCCGGCAAGCCTGCATCTGTTGATGATGATCAAATCTAAACGTCGACTGAAAACAAACGACTCCAAATGACACACATGAATCTCAAAGGTACTCCACATACCTCATATATATGTACGTTGTAAAGCATTTGAAAACACTTGGGTACGTGAATTTATCGGATATATATATATATATATATATGTGTGTGTGTGTGTGTGTGTGTGTTTATATATATATATATATATATATATATATATATATATATATATATATATATATATAGTTAAACCTAGAGAGCCAGACAAACCTAACAAGGTTTCACCTTAGCGGATGGTCAGGAAGGCGCTTTATTTAGTTATTTTGCGTACTCGCATCGGTGTTTTTTTCTTTGGGTCTTGGACTTGCATGCGAGACGATTATTTTCGGCTAACGTACAGTTTCTTGGTTCTTTCTTATTTTATACCATTTTTCCCTTTGGTATTGACTTGTTTATTTGCAAATCAAGACACCGAAGGTTTTCCGAGTGACTATAGTTTCTTATACCTATAGGATTACTATTAATACTAATAATAATATATATATATATATATATATATATATATACTTAGGGTACTTCATGATTTAATGGAAAACATTTAACGGGCCACGTTTCTCTGTCTGTGATTCTCTACTCAAATGAAACAAAACGGGCAATTTTGGAAAATAATGACAAGAGTTGAGAATGTGGAGCGAAAAAGGTTCTGGGACAAACGGAAAACTGTTCTTCAAGTTACGATACTGAATATCTGGTAGTATTGGAGTTGTGTTCGAATTCCAGTCGGGTTCGTTACTTTCATTTACGCGAAAATATCATTGGGAAAGTTATAAATCCATCTCTCCCAACAACCAGCTATAGATTAAGTAACAGGACAAACTAGGCCCTGTAGCCTTGGCTGTCAACTAATCGATCGCAGAAACAAACATCCTACTACAGGAAAATGTTCTGTTATAACTCGAAAGAGATATGATCGTGAAAGTGTTTATCACATATAGCATTGGTTTTTAATGGGAAATAAGTTTTATTCATGGGAAGAACTTCTCTTGTCTGGAAGTCTGTAAAAACCATCCAAGAAGAGGTGATGTTCTGGGAGGATGGAAACATCATGCTGTCTGGAAAATAGCGAAATGAAATGGAAGAAAATGGTACATATATCGTAGAATAAATCTATATCGAAATATTGTTTTTTGAAATTCAATTAACGCTCTGACCCACCATCCTCATATCCGAACTTCTCCATTTTACCATTTAGATGTTGTAGGAATATAATATTTTTTCTTTTCTTTGCAGATAATTGTTAGTAACTTGAAATTTCCCAACCCATAATGTCTTGCACCGAAGAAACTTCAACTTGAAGAGAAAGGAATTTCTTTCACGTTACCTCAGAAACTAGAGATTATTGAAAAACTGGACAATGGCACAAGCTCATCTGACATTTCGTTCAGATTCTGCAATATGTCAGAAGAGCTTGTGCCATTGTCCAGTTTTTCAATAATCTCTAGTTTCTGAGGTAATGCGAGAGAATTTCCTTTCTCTCAGAATCTGAACGAAATACTAAAACTTGCGCTTGAAGATGATCTACTGATCACTTTGGATGACTTAAAAGAATGGATAAATAAAGACGCTGATGTATTATAAAAGAATTCAACGGAAGAATCGTTTCAAAATGATTTGGATTATCACGAAATAGAGGAAGAATCAAATTCTTCTGATAATGGTGAAAATATGAAGTGTGATGAAGAAGGCTAGGACACAATAGAGAAAGGTGAAGTCATCAAATTCATGGCGAAAAAATAATCTTTGTTCAGTAGCACAAGTGTACGTCATTTGCAGAAATGCCTTACTTTAAAAAAAACTAGAACAATGAAATGTAAGCGAAATAAGAAAAGAAATAAGAAAGACAATTGAAAATAAAACTTATTGAACATTACAAATTAATATTTACTTTCGTGAGACATTTAATTTTTCATATATTACGATAAGTTCTTGTGATTTCTTAAGTTATATTACACATGCAACATTATATCCGAACCCGTTCTCTCATATCCAAACTGCTCTAAAGTTACTTCTACTATATAGATATATAATTCCCCAAGGGTATTAGCACGTAATTGAATGTAATGGATTCGACTGGAATTCGAACTCGGCTCTCCGATTCCTCAATCCAAGCCAATATCCATTAATCCACCGTGCCCCCTATCTCCACATTGCCTCTTTGCGAAAGATATGAATCCTCTTCTTCTCTCTCCAGTTATGGGTAAATAGCAGAACAGACTGGGTTCTATAGCCTTGGATGGCAACTGGTCTAGGAGAAGGGCAACTCTGAGTTCAAAACCTGCGGAGGGTCGTTTGGGGACCTTGTGGCACGTAGTGCACCAGGTCTCTGTATTCGGCCCTTCAAAAAGTGTGGATGGTCCTGCACGAAACCTTCACCACTATAATTAATTCTCATGTGCTGTTTATCGGGCTGTCAGTTTCCTGGGAACTGATCTGCTTGACCCTCATACGTCGGATTCGACGGAAGAGTCGAAATATATATATATATATATATATATATATATATATATATATATATATATAAGCCTAAACTCTTTTTGAGATTGCGAAGAAAGGATTACGTGAATGCCAAAAGAACCCAAAATTTGTTACACAACAGAGTAACTGTGTCATGTCGCACGATGAACAGGGATTTGAATAAACATATTGTCCGAAGTTACAAGGAAAACTTTCGCCGAAAAGAGTGCATGAAAATAACTATGAGATTTATTTATTTATTTATTTATTTTAGTCGGATTGAGGCTCAGTTAATGTGGCGGAGAAACTATGAAACCCAGGAAAGCCATCCGCAGTAGAAAAATATGGGCTGGAAATCGTTAACGTTGGAATTTTTTTTTATTGGAAATAGAAAGGGCTGTTTGTTTAAAAGCATTGGATTCTGAAAAAAAAAAAGATTACCACGATATTTTAAAGGAAAATCTATAAGATCCTGACAGATACCTCTTTGGAAAAACGTTGTTTTGCTTTCCAACAGGATAATGATCTTAAACCCACAAGTGCACTCGTGAAAAATAGTTTAAAGACAACAAGATCATGACTTACCTTCTCAACAGACGATATGTAGTTAGAAAATAAAGTTTTTGTTCGCCTTCACAAACATCATAAGCTTTTAGTAAAGTTAAAGCGGTTAGCCGTCGAAGAGTGAAACAATATGTTGAACGCAATTTATAACAGATTAGTCACTAAGTATAGAAAACGTTTAGTTAGCTGTTTTATTGGTCAGATAGGCTGTTCCTTTGACTATCAACTGAAGCGAATGAATAATTTTGTTCCTGTCTGTATTGTTATTGTTTTAGTCATAATGAAAAGTTTCTAAAACGGATTATAAATATTTATTCGACGCCTATGATCATATTCCGACTTTTATCTCTCTCCTCTCCCTCTATCTCCTCGCTATATATATATATATATATATATATATATATATATATATATATATATATATATATATGTGTGATTTTTTTTCGGCAGAAGTTCATGTTTGTAGCTCTTTCTTTTTTAAAACCTTTTTTTCCCTCGAGATTGATTTGATTACTAGCAAATCAAAAATTCGAGAGTTTTTCGAAACGAGTCTAGTTATCTATCTATCTATATATATATATATATATATATATATATATATATATATATATATAATATTATATATATATATATATATATATAAAATTCTGTTTGAATTTCTGGGATGGCGAGTTATCCTTATTTACACTATTTATATTCGGACTATTGTCCTCATCTTTGTTGTTATCACAACGTTTCGGCCATTAGCAATTCTTCAACAGCATCTTGACGATGTGGCAGAAGCAGCATTAATCAGCGTGTAGGTTATGTTTAAAGTTAAGTTTTTTTTTTTGATCGGGGGGGGGTTAAGCATTTCACTCAAAGCAATGCGGGAGTGCCACTAGTACGCAAGGGGGAGGGGCTACATAGAGTGTAAGTAAGGGAAAAGACTGGGTAAAGAGGGTATTGAGGAAAGGATAAAAAGAAGAACAGAGAAGGATAAGAAGAAGAACGGGGATCAAGGCAAAAGAAGATGTCGATTGACATTACATTTAAACTTTTGAAGATTATTGTTATCAGGAAAGCAAGTAAGAGGAAGATAGTTCCGCCGTTGGGAAGTGCGGAAGATGAAGCTGTTGGAGTAGAAGAGGCGGTTACATTTAACTGTTACGACAGTAATAGGATGGGACCGAAATGCCAACCTAGTAGCACGCTTAAATTCATGCAGTAGAGGCAAAAGTGAAAATCGCTCGTCAGAGCAGATGACATGAAAATATTTATAGAAAAGAAAGAGGGAAACCACATTACATCGGCGAGAATGTGACTGAAGTCGAGAACCAAAGTCAAGACCGATCACATCGCATACCCGTCTTTGGATTTTGACGTGAACTTCAAGATGAACAGTGGGGGCATTAGACCATATACCAATGTTATTTATGAAATATTTCACTGCGAAATAAACAAAAAATGACAACACACACAGTAATAAAAATTCCAATATAAAATTTAATTAAAATTAATAATGACGTTTTGAGTTACCGAATTTATCTTCCATTGTTTAAGAAATTTTTCCTTTATAGTCCAAATAATGAAAATATCTCGACTAAACTAAATTATTAATTAAAATCCTGATCAACTGCCATGTTCTAAGGCTAATGAAATGATTGAGGGCCTTCTGATGTTCCGGCATTTAAGTTTAGCAGTTTTTATTTGCTACATCTTAAAAGTAAAAAGTGTTTTTAAGTTAATCGGAATAAGTATTCGCTATGGCCTACTTCCCAGAGTCTCAGGTTTACGGTCACATTACATTGAAAAACCGGTTTCCGTACGACCATTGAAGTTAAGCAACGTCGAGCGTGGTCAGTACCTTGACGTGAGACCGCTTGAGAATACAAGATGTTATAGACTTGGGTGTGCGAGTAGTATAATGGATAATTGCTCGGAATTTTTAATCGGATATTCGAGTTCCAACTTCCTTTAGTTCCTTATATTCACTTATGCGGAAATACTCTTGGGAAAGATATGAATCCATCACTACTTCCCCTAGCTATGGGTTATTAGTATGACTTGTAACACTCAACCATTATAATCTCGCACAAAAATTCTTAAACTCTAAAAATATTACTGGCTTTAAATAACCTGCAAAATAGTTGATAAGGCATAGAAAACTAATCAATTAATCAACCAACGTCGGGGTGGACCACGGTGAAAACAATATTTAGGAAGTTGTTCTACGCTCCTCACTAGCGACACTCTCCCGATCAGAGACCTTGCTGCTGGATGTAGTTTATCGTCATACCCAGGACTATCGACCATGTTATTCTCAGCAAGCACTTTTCTCTTCATTTGTGAGGAGACTGTTTAGTATTATTTTCCATACAAGTGTATTGATATGACGTATCAATTCAACACTTTTTTATTTCTAATAAAATATTCCCGTCTTAATACTTTGCTCAGATTTAGAATTAATATTCCAATGTCTGACGCATTTTTTGATACTTCCCAAATAATTCATTTTTTTTTTTTTTTCATTTCTTTGATGCTGACATTTCCAATTCGAAATTTTTATTCTGGGGATTTTATTTTTATTTTTTTTTTTTTTTTTTTACTGAAGACCATCCATTCTATCTTCTTACATTTGATAGTTAGGCCTTTCTTCTCGCTTTCCTTTACTACCATGTCTAGGAATTCTTTAGTTTTCCCTTTGTGTTTGCCATCAACATAATGTCATCTGTGTATCTCATAATATTAAGATTGTACCCACCAATAATAAATCATGACAGGGTCTCCACTTACTGTAGAGGTTGGATAAATCCGGTGAGAAGACACAACCTTGTCTTACGCCCCTTCCTATTTTTCATTCATGTTCTATCCATATGCTGGCTAGTTGCTCCCAGTATAAATTTTCTATGGGTATAGTTTTCCTAACAGTTCAAAGTAAAAAAAAAAATAAAAATAACAAAAAGTGGTATTTCCGGAATATTAACATTAATCGAGAAAAATAACCTACCTAAGGAAATATCACCTTAATCCTATTCAAGGTATTCAGTCATTTAATATTAACGAAAAATAACGTAGCTAGAGCAACAGCACCTTAGTCCACGTCAAAGTACTCATCACCTAACCATAAATATTTCTCCCAGTGTCGCTTCTACTTTTCAAAACAGTCTGCAAAGTTCTTTTGAGTGATCGCCACCAACTGTCTCCCCTTATTCTCTTTGATATCACCCACGATGAGAAATCCCATTTTCAACGGCTATTTCGATTTTGGAAAAAGGCATATTGAGGGCAAGAGAGATCATCATCATCATCATCTTGCGGCCTTAGCCGAGATTGAACTCACCAATACTTTGATTGGTGTAGTTCATAATCTTGTCAAATAGCTGAATTCTTGATGCTTCGCTAGGGCTATCAAGGGTGTTTTTTATCGTGACACCATCACTAAATTGATTGCCAACCAAGGCTCAGAGAGACTCCATTCACCCTCATCTCTTAGATGAGGGTGAATGGAGTCTCTCTGAGCTTCAGGTTTGAATTCAAAGTTTTCCTTCTCCTAGACCAGTTGCCATCCAAGGCTATAGAACCCAGTCTGTCCTGCTATTTACCCATAGCTGGAGGGAGAAGAAGAGGATTCACACCTTTCCTAAGGGTATTAGCACGTAAGTGAATGTAATGGATTCGACTGGAATTCGAAATCGGCTCTCCGATTCCTCAATCCAAGCCGCTATCCATTAACTCCACCGTGCCTCCTCAAGAGAGATAGCGGAAGACAGCGAGATATCTCCCTGATGTTCCTGTATGGATGGAAGGCGAAAAAGGGTGGGGCTGAACCCTTAGTAAAGGGAGTAAAACTGCTGAGAACCACAATGGATAGGAGGTTGTGGAGAACCATGATTTCCTATGCCCCAAAGGAATGCGGCACATAGAAGATCTATCTATCTATCTATAAGTGTGAATCAAAAGTAATGCCTGCTCTACTTTAAGTGCAGCTTCTCGACTACGCCACAATCAGTACATAGTGAGTCCTGGGTATCCATGAAGGAGCTACATGACACCTTTCGAATCAAGATGGACGATGAGATCTACTATGAGCCAGATAATAAAATATATATAAAGTGACGCCAAAAAAAAAAGAAGTGATGAGCATTGTGTTTTGAGATTAAAAGTGGGCCCTGCTGTTGAAGTTTAAATCCAATGGCACCACTATCAATTCTGACGTCTTCATTTTCGAACTCCGAGCAAGGCATACATTGTTTTGTGACGTACGGTGGCTGTTAATAATTAAGTGTAACTCAAGACTTCAGTGTTAAAATAAAACAGTATTTAATTACAACCGCAAATAAATACTTAGCAAGAACAAACAAGTAAAAAACAACCAAATATAACCATTTCAGTGAATACCTTGTTAGTAGCGCAGCCCGGCTTAACGTCCGGTAAATCAATAAAGCAAAACCCAAGTTATCGACGCGCAATAATGCACACTAATTCGACTGGATATTTCCATTCAATAGTCGCTCAATAATCACTGCAGTCAGTAGCCTGACATCACTATTTATACACTTGGCGAAAAACATATGCTCATAAGTTCAGAGTGTCACGCTCGAACATCGGTGTCGGTAGTTACTCATTTTCATTGTATGACATCATAGCAGCTTAAAAACTAGTTAAGCAGTCCGAGTACATGTTTGGATAACCTTGTATCCATCCACCTGTCCTGACCTGACACACTCGAACTTCCATCGGTTTGGGTCGATGAATGAGGCAATAGTTCCCAATGATGACAGGCCGAACGAAGTAATTTGCACATGGCTAAGAAAACAGCCAAAATACTTCTAAGGGATGGATATGAATTCTTTTATTTAAAGGGGGAATACAAAAAAAGGAAGAAAGACGAATTGATTTACCCCTAACTCTAATCAAATATAGAACACGTATGTGCTGTAATCAGAGGAAATCGAGTGAGGAATTTAGACTAAAATCTCTGGATTCCAAATATTGATTGGATTGTACACACCTATTTTGAGTATATCGAATTATAATTTTGATTAGAAAAAGAGAGCACTATTTACATTGTTCGGACTATTGTCCTCATCTTTGTCGCCATATTTATTACAACGTTTCGGCCGTTGTACGCTCCAGCCTTCTTCAGGTAGTTGGAATGTCGGACTGAACCGTTTATTTCGATATTCCAACTACCTGAGGAAGGCCAGAGCGTACAATGGCCGAAACGTTGTAATAAATATGGCTACAAAGATGAGGACAATAGTCCGAATAATGTAAATAGTGTACATAATACCTCATCTCAGAAATATAGATAGAAAAAGAAAGGTTTTCTCTAAAAATGTTACAGCTTATAGATTTAAAATTCCTATGATTTCTGACTAATACTTTTTAAATTAAATCAGAATAAGAATTAGTTTTTACCAACCCACATAGATAGATAGATAGATAGATAGATAGATAGATATGAACAAACTGGCATAGATAGATAGATAGATAGATAGATAGATAGATAGATAGATATCACGTAGCTGGGAATGGTAATGGTAATTTTTATGTTAATATTATACGTTTCTTTATAAGAAAATATTCGGCATTGACCGAGAAGTCTGTCGGTTGAAATTTATAAAACCTTTTTATTAAAATAATTTTTCGGGAAAATAGGTTCCTCAGATCCAGTAGCTGTTATCACTCTTTCCAGTACTGATGGGGGTTTCCTTTCTAACTTTTTATTTGAAGTAATGTGGAATGTCAGCATTTTGATTATGTTAGTATTTTCTCTTCGTGTTGCCGCTGCTGAAAGTCTTCAAGTGATGATGTTTCTGTTATTTGATACAGTTCTTTGTATCAAATAACAAATTTGTTATTCGTCACAGATGCAGATATGGAGCCTCCATCGATGAGTTTGGTTTGCATCCTCTCTGCTGTCGTCGTAGTGCCAGTCGCTTTCCACGGCATGTAGCCATTAACGACATCATCAAAAAGAGGTTTGGATGCAGCTGGGTGCCCTTCCCAAATCGAACCCGTAGGCCTCGACCGCGGTGATGGAAAGCGGCCGGATGGCATTACCATTTTCCCTTTTAAAATGGGGAAGTCGTTGATATGGGATGCGACCTGTGCGGATACATTTTCGGTCGGTAATTTGATCAGGTCTGCGGTTGAGCCGGGGCCAGTCGCCCGGGACGCAGAGATGGAAAAAATATAGTTAAATATTCTTCTCTTGCTGATATATTTTTTTTTACTCCTGTGGCAGTGGAGACTTCAGGGGTTATTGGCCCTCGTTCGATGGCGTTCCTTCGGAGGATTGGCGCGATGGCGTCTCGATTAAGGGACGAGCCTCGCGAAACGGAGTGGCTCTTGCAGCGTGTTCCACTGGCGATGGTTCGAAGTAATGCTTTTTTTTCATCATTGCGGCTGGTAGATGATAGAAAAAAATTGTTTATAGTTACGTTGTTCTGGAATTATCATCAGCGATCAACTGAACTTGTTTTATTTCAATAAAGTTTGCTTATTAATATTATTTGTTTATGATTTTGTCGCGCCAGTCTATAATAATTCGGAGAAGGATTGTCTTCAACAAGATCCACAGGATTCCCTCACCCAAAACCATTCTTAACAATTGATCTTATAAAGCGGTTCTATACAGCTGACAGTTTTGATATTTCTGAACGATTTTGGTGACATGCATGACATATGAAAGCCTCGATCTGACGAGACTATTTAAGTCGAGTTTACAGGTTATTGTTTTTTTTTTTTTTTTTAGCATTTTGTGGTATTGGGTGAAACTATCCCTAGAGCAGCATACTGTATATTCAGTTTCCTTATCTCTTATACTAAACGTCTTATAAGTGATCCATACACCAAAGTAGTTGAAATGTTTTGTATTTACTAATTCCCCATT